AAAATCCACGGCCGCCATAAGCTTCTTCTAGGGTATTTATATGAACTCCTTTTAGGGTTGGAGTCTTCTACAAGGCATAGGACTTCAAACAAGATTTACTTCCAAGGATACCATATCTTTGGTAAGTAAATCTTCTTTTCTCTCTCTTTGATCTCCTCTCCAAGCATGTCTCTTTTCTTCCTCTTCCTTCTCTCCTCACGAGCGATTCCCTGTCATTTCCAAAACCATAATAAGATCTACACGGACTTATATAAGGAATATAAAATAATATTACTTAAGGAAACATAATATACAAAGATCTTCCCTTTTATTCTGTGGTTCCAGGTGCTTGTTCGAACTAACGAACTAATGCCAAAATAAAATATCTTTCAATCTCCCCCTTTGGCATCTAGTTCGAAAACATCAGACTTGAAAGTCTCCTACAGCAATAAAAACAACAAGCACCCACAGATAAAATCAAGTAAAGATTAGTTCAATACATCACAAGTTCTCCTTAAAGCAGTTCTCCCCCTTAGTTCCTGCAGTCATCAAAATTCAACAGAATGCTTCTAAATTCATTTCAACCATAGACAGTAAGGATAACAAAACAACTGCATTAATCCCATAAAACAAACTTAGTAGCAAACAACAAATAACCAACCACATAAAAAGCTTCCCTACAACCCTCAAAACACACAAAGAAACAAAAACTACTCCAAGCTAACTACTCCTCATCTCCAAGCTTTTCAGTGGCATCATCAGACTCTTCATCCTCTTTCTCAATGCTCTTACTAGCAGCAGAAACCTTCTCCCCCTTTTTCGAACTACGGGATGCCGAACGGCCGGTCCCCGAGTTTCGAGTTGATCCCTTGACAGCCTGCAGCACTTGGCGAAGATAACCCTGTTGAGCAGCAACCTTCTTGGCCAAATCATCCCATTCTCCAAGTTGCTGAGCCACAAACTCACCCCAATTTTTAGGGACCAAGGAAGGAGCAAGTTCCTTCGTGACCTTGGAAATCCCTTTTTCATTCAAAGTACGAGCACTAACAGAGAGTGCTTTCCTGGGATTCTCAAGAGAGTCTTGGAAGCGAAGATTAACAGAGAAATTATGAGCAGACAAGAAGGACCAAATGAGACAAGGGAAGGGA